TGCTTTAAAAGTGATAAATTTAGAGACTCCTTTAAGAAAATTTTATCATCTGCAAGGCTCTACAAAAAGGATGACCAATGACCCAAATGCCAGTGAGAGTGTTTCAGGCTAGTTCACATGCCCTTTCAAGCCAGTGCTGAAAGTTACACATTCACTGATCTTGTACATAAGTCTTTATGTATCAGTAAGAATGTGCTGATATCTACAAATTAATCAGTTTTACATCATATACAAAAAAGTGTTTATAACTTCATGAAGTTATATTATAGCTATATAATTTCCAGCTTGTTGCAACAAAAAAAAAAAAGATTTAATTAAAAACAATATATTTAATGAAAAATATTTCTAATAAATACAAATGGATACAAAAATGAAAAAACAAACAAACAAACAAAAAGTTATTGCTGGGGCCTTATTTACTTTTTGAAAAGAAGTTCTCATTCATAAATCTACACACGATGAGCCTTACTCCTAAAACATTTAAGTAATTTTCATTAAAAATGGACCATCCCGATAAGTCTCCTCCAGATTCATCAACACTTTGTGAACCTCAGATTTGAGTAATGCAAATGTTATCAAAATGAAGTGTTATTAACATTCTGATGTTTTTCACACTATTTACAAGTGGTCAAAGGTAGGTGTACATTTTTTCATAACTAACATTTTGAAAATATGAAGAGTTAGTCAGAACAGCTTAATGAATGATTTACACAAAAATTAATTCTGCTTGTTTTATGAATGAGCCAATTTCCCACAAAGTGTTTGGTGTCTATAGAGACTGCTGTTACAATATTTGATTTTGTTTTCCACTCAGTCACAGACCATTATTGTGATTTAATTAACTTAAATACCACCAAGCACATAAAAACAAAAACTGTGGTTGTTGATCTCTTTTTGCTCAGATGGGCTCTTATTCCAATCTCTTCTTTTTCCAATCTCCAAAGAAGTGTCAAAAACATTTCTACTGTGAAACAACAAGCTGGTGGAATTTTTCCAGTCTATATAACATGAAATAAAGTCAATCAATATAAAAACCCATGTTCACTTTCAGCATTTCGCACAATAATGTGTGTAATGCATCAGGATGATCGAGCCTGCAATATCTGTAATAAATGCCACATCCAATGCATGTTGACATGGTGCTATCGTCATTAACGTACTTTGGCTCTCTGCACACTTCAACATTCAGAGTAATGAAATAATGGCTGATGTTAGTGTGAGCTGCTCTTTTTCACAGATGTTCCTACCCATTAGGGAGAGAGAGAGAAAGAGAGAGAGAGAGACCACAGACTGGTCATATCGAGACGAATGAGGCAGTTCATTGGAACATGCATCGACTCCGGCCCCATAATGCACTGCAGCAAGCCCGTGTCACTGAACAAACATTCTAGTGCCTCTGTTCCCCTGCCCATGTCACAGGTAATTTTGTTCTGTCTTAGTCATACTGGCCTGAGCACTGACAGGCTTTATCACTCTCGCCTGGACCCGAGAAAAGCAGACAGGAAAGGTCAGCGGAAAGGGCATGTAGGAAGGAGGGATACTGTCAGTTCTTGTCTGCAGTGAGGGACTAGAGGGGGAAAATTCAAGGGAAAGATCAGGACAACTTCACCGTCAGAACAGACTTCACAATCGGGAGGAAGGGAAGACCACTGCATTATACACCACAGCGATTTGTTAAAGGGGTCATATGATGCTCTTTTAAAGATCCTTATTTTGTGTATTTGGTGTAACAGAATATGTTGACATGCTTTAAAGTTCAAAAAACACATTATTTTTCAAATACTGTACATTATTGTAGGTCCTCTATGCCCCGCCTCTCTCAAACGCTTCATTTTCTACAAAGCCCCCTCCTTTGACAAGCGCAGTCTGCTCTGATTGGCCAGCTGACCCAGTGCATTGTGATTGGCCGAAACACCACAAGCACGCGTCGGAAATGTAACGCCCCTTACCATAATCGCGAGCTTCATCTTTCAAAAAAAATGTAAAGACAGAGCCCGAAAGGGGAACAGAGTCATGTGACAGACACAGTGATGAAGCTGGTATGTGTTTGCAGTACACAAGCCACAGTTAAGACACACACACGATGCGCAAAACTCCGCATTTGAACAGTCAATAGCAAATACTTAAACTAATAACAAAACAGTAGCTGATTCAGAAGCGCCAGATTGTCATAGCAAAGTCAGAATTACCTCCTCTCCTAGGTTCACGAAACGGTCATCCATAAACTGCATTGCTGTTCTGTTGTAAGTAATCCTAAATGCATCTACTTTCGGAAGGCCAAATAAAGTGCTTTTGCTTTCGCACTGAAACACACAGCGTCTCCCTGACATGGCTGCTTCAACACTAACTGCTGTTCCTGAAACCACGCCTTCTTTCTTTGCGTGAACATTTGGGCAGCATTATGCTAATATTTCCACAGAGTGAGGTAGATATGTGGGGGCATGTTACAACGAGCCGTTTTAGGGGGGCGTGGCAGAGTCTTAACTTTGATAAAGAATATCTCTTTGGTTTTGAGACTTTAGTCTTTGCAACTTCAGGGATCTTATCTATGCACAATCAGCTTGTAACACTCCAAAGAGAAAGGAAAACTTGAAATCGAATCATATGACCCCTTTAAACTACAGTAACACTTTACTATTTCCGTCAGGAGAGCATTGATGTTACACGCATCATTGATGAAAGCACCTGTTCTATGAGCAGATGCTGAAATGTGTAACTGCTAAACAAATCTCTGGCTACATGAAGACTCTGGCTCCAGAACTTGCTCACCTCAGTATTAAAGCATCATTCACCCTAAAACATAATACATTTTGACATTATTTTAAGATTTTAAGACAAAGCAAAGAGAATTTAAGGAATAAATTTGATGGAATATGTTAATATGGTCTCTAAATGTAAATGTTTTGTATTAGCAATGCCTCAAAGTTTGAAAATGCAACATTCATTTGAAAATAAGTATAAGTAATTTTGTCTTGCTTTCCAGTGCAAATGTCTAAATCCAGATACGTTATTTACTTGAGAAACAAAATGACATGAAGCAAAATGAAGTGAGCTTACAATGAAAACAAGAACAAATTAGAACTTAATTAAAAGGGGAAATACATTTTCATACCCCATTCACAGATATTTGTTCTTGTTTCAAGATTAGAAATAAATAAAAAAAACTCAAGTAAATGTATCTTCATTTATGATAATTTGATATTCATATTGGAACATTTAATGCCATGACTTTATGAATTTAAGACTTTCAGGTTCAATTTAAAACTTTAGGGCCTTAATTTGTGAAAGTACAAATTAAGACTTAAGACCTGCAGAAACCCCGTTCTATTCCAATTTTTTATATTGAAGAAGAATCTTTAAACAGCCATTTACATAAACTGATGTCAAAATAATATTTTTATCATTTTTCTAGTAAGCAAACATTATTTTTTGTTAAATAAAATATATTAAAAATATCTTTATCTGTCTTTCTTGAGGGTTTTCTTGAGACTTTCTTGGAAGAACGGTTTAACCTCATGATAAATTACCTGATGTTCCTCATTTATAAATCGCTTTAGATAAAAGTGTCTGCTAAATAACTCAATGTAAATGCAAGCTTCAGTGGAGGAAAAGGTAAGTCATCAGTGAAAAATAACTTCACTTTCAGTCTGTTCCTCACAAAACTATCGTATGACTTACCGAAAGACTATGATTATAGCGCATGATACTTTTATGGTGCTTTTTGGTGATTTTGTCCCTATTACAGCATATGGGTTTGCAACAACATGAGCGTTAGTAAATGTAGACAAACTGGGCTAACTGTCTCTTTAAGATGTTAAATTCTAGTCATTTAGGTCATTTTCGCTTTTAACTAAGAGCATTTCACAGCAGGAGATTGAGAGAATACGGGTCAGACATCTGGTGAATATTCATTCAGATGAGACGCTCTCTGTCAGAGCCGCGGTGCAGCACATGTTCTTGACAGGCCTGAGACATCGTACTTACGCAAGTAATGCAGGTTTGAGAGCAGACTATGAGCCGGCCCCATTCTTTCTGTCTCACCTCAATAACTTCTGGTCCCTTGTGCACTGTGACTAATAAACAGAGGCAAAGGCCATTGAAAAAAGAAATTGGTCTAACATAACCTTCACATTCACCTGAAATGAATCAGTGTTTTCTGGAGAGCTCAAACTATAACATGTTCCAAGGAAACTAAACACTTCAACCAAAACTGATATACTGAATATGACATTTAAATCTTTTAACAGTCACATTGGCAGTAAACACACAGCTCCACCTACTGGAAACATGCAGTCATGACACTGAAAACTGGATAAAATGAAACCGTAATCAGAAAGTTTGACACCATTGGCGATCAGAACCGAAAAAGCTAAAAAAAAACTATGTATGTATGTATGTGTATGTATATATATATATATTTATATTTATATACACACTATGTATGTATGTATGTATGTATGTATGTGTATATATGTATAATTTAATGATATAGATAGATATATATAGTGTACTTTATTTTGCTAAAAAGCATCTGCTAAAAATCTGCTTCCTGAATGATTAGACCATAGTGCAACAAACATAAATAATTAATTCTGATACTAAAATGGTCTGGAAAGTAACCAAGGTTGCAACGTAAACTTCTAAGCACCCGTCAGATTCTCTTGCATCACCCTCCAAAAATAGACCTGAGTCCATCTGTTCCCGCTCATTTCAGACCATTATATTTGATCTCTGAAAGAAGGTTCCAGCAGGGCATCTCAAATCTGTCATCATCAGTGGGAATGCGTTTCAGTGGATACAGAAATATCACGGAGCGCAGGAGATATGCAGAGTAATTATGATGTCGGAATGAGCTTTTAAAGAGTAGATTAACATCAAATAGCACCTTGAAACCAACCTAGCGAGAAAATACGTGCTCATATTTCATAGATTTCAGCAAATCAGCAGGCACAACAACTGAAATGGCCCCAGATAATTTACAAATATAAGCCTAGTGTTACCTTTAAAAATTGCACAAGGTGCTGGACTACTCAGAATTTCAGGGTCATCAGGATCACTGTCAGTCTGAAGCAAAAGCACAATGATGCTGGAAGAAGAAGAAGAAGAAAAAAAAAACAGCGTAATTATAATATAATTGCTGTTACAGTGCTTTATAATAGTTTTATCAAAAATACACATTATTAAGAAGCAAAATCAAAATGGAATGAACAAGAGCATAAATCTTTATACGAAAACTATCCTCATGTATTTATTTGTATTTTACTGGCAATATAACCATGATATAGAAGTATATGAATACATTTAATATGGTACTTTAGGCTTATTATTATAAGCCAGGCTGGAAATGCAACACTGTCGAATATACAACAGTGGTGACTGGTCTTAAACCAGTGCCCTGGTGTAATGCATTAATGTTAACAAAACAGTAGTTGCATAGAAGATGCCTCAAATTAAATGAAATAAAACCTACTATAATAACACTGACAAAGTAGCCTACATACCGTCTTAAACACAGACAAAACGTCAAATCCATAGACTTTAGGCTACTTCGGCTCATAAAACAAGAGAAGTCTCAAAAACACCTCACTTTACATATTAAAAAAACCTAAGTCAGAGCTGGGTCCGGTGCCTAATTCTCTGATAGACATAAGATCTCTATTTTAGATCAGCGGGTGCTTTTAATTGCTCATTTCATTTATCCGAGCTCAGCAAATATTACAGCGCCCTCTGCTGTTATGACAGATCATATTAAAAAAACCTAAGTCAGAGCTGGGTCCGGTGCCTAATTCTCTGATAGACATAAGATCTCTATTTTAGATCAGCGGCCTAAACGACTCAGCGGGTGCTTTTAATTGCTCATTTCATTTATCCGAGCTCAGCAAATATTACAGCGCCCTCTGCTGTTATGACAGACAAAGTGTTAAAAGTTGATAAGAGTTGATCCTATTTAGCTTTTCACTGTGTGAAATACAAGAATAATGAAAAATATTTTTGTTTTTGTAATTTATTATGACTATTCATACCAGAAACCGTTGAGCATCCAGAGTATTCGTACATGTGACCAATTCCAGAATATATCATCGTACAGCAACGTAAACGGACCTTAAATACAATTTACAAAGTAGTACTTACTAATCTAAAACAGTTACAGTAGTGTTTATTTCACTGTTCGCACCTTTTTAATCGTACAGCCGTGTTTCTTCATTCTGACGTTGAGCCGTTTAGTCACCTCACAAGACTTCATTTGGCGCTCTTAGCGCGAGCCGCACAAGACCTTTTTTTTCTCTCGACACGTTTGTCAAGGAGCCTAGGTTAGGTAGTTATAACTAAACGGTCCCAGTGATATTTGAGGGGCTAATAACGTTGTGTATTATACTGTATATACTGTATTATATATTTTAAAGGAATGGGATTAGCAAAAAAATAACATTAGGTCCTTAGATTTACTTCCCCATTATGTTAATAGCTCCCTATCAAAAACGCTCAATTCTTATTTACGCATGCGCAAGATTATCTAGCCACGTAAAATACGTTTATGTGTGAAGCCATCAGTTTAAGCCAATTTATCTGCACATTTTTTGAAAACAAATAGGCTCGTGGATGTCAAGAAATAAATGAAATGTGGTCCCCTTAATATTTCACCACGAGGTGGCGCTACCGTCATAAAAATCTTGCATGGGCGGCAAGATAGGTGATAAATGCACTTTATTTTATCCATGATATTTTAATAATTTATTTTGTCTAAAGCGTAAAGGCTGCTTCAGAGGATTCTTCTATAATAGTTTCCCTCTTTGGGTGGTGCGGGAACCCGTCTGAAGACATAAACGTAAACATCTCTAATATACTCTCTCTGTAATGACCCTGAATAATTACTGACCCGCAGACCACAAGGTGAACATAAAACACCAAGACTAGTATATTTCATTTAATTTGACTCAGTAGCCTAAAGAGAAAAAAGATGACAATAGGCAATTCCATTAGACAGCTAATAAAAATATAGTACAATGACAACAAGAGGTTTAGACTAAGATTAAACAGCAGATCCAGACAGTAAAGGTCAGTAAAGAGTTAGCCTATGTATCCTGCTAGTGGAGAAGATCAAGAAGATTATGAATAAATAGTGAAACAGGAATGAGTCATGTTAAATCACATGCGATATTTAATGCGCATCTTGTCAGTAAAGCCAGTTCTGTAATCAGTGGTAAATCTCCATCACATGCGTGCTTTCACATTGAGCAGCATTAACTACACAGAGCCGTTGTTCCCTGACAAGCTGCGCAAACCCACGTTCATATTCGCAATTTTTTTATGGGTTTTTGTTAAATGTGAGCCAAAATCATCACAATTAAAAGAACCAAAGACTTAAACTACTTCAGTCTGTGTGCCTTTAATTTATTTAATACACGAGTTTCACAATTTGAGTTGAATTACTGAAATAAATGAACTTTTCCACGACATTCTAATTTATTGAGATGCACCTGTATATATATATATAATTTATTTGTGGGTTCAGTTTGCAACTTATTATTAGCAAAGTATTTATTATATTCCAGTAAAACACATAAGCATGGAGAATGGTGGAGAATAACAAATTCATTCAGAAATGACTAAATTTCACAATTAATTACAACTAAATGCCCAGTAATAAACTGACTTAAATTTTTTAAGTAGAAAGGGTGAAAAATATTTTCTTGTAAAACTAACTTCATTAATCTTTATTTACAACACTGAAAAATGTATAAAATTTTTTACAGTGAGCAGACAAATAGATTTAATTTTTAATAATTTTTTTTAAGGAAGAAGGAAATCCTTTTCTGAGTGAGCAGCTTTTAAAGAGGTGTGAAAATTCCTCTGGAAGTGCTGAAAACATGCATTAACATACCAGTGCAAAGCCAAGGTTAGTGGACAGAGCTGTGCTCACTCATTACGTTTACAGTCCCTCAGGAAATAAACATCTATAACGCTTTCTACAGACCTCTAATAAGACGCAGGTAACAGCCATTCATTACAGAGACTCAGGCCAGAGATTTACAAATCTCAGGAAAGTGCAGTTAGGCAGGTTCCCCTTACTTTGAAAACGGTTATTTCTTTAAGGGCGTCACAGGACGAGCAATAAAGGCTTTGATTTATTCTTGGCGGCTGATAATTGCTAGTGTCTTGTCATCTGTCAGAAGGGAGAGATTTGGACGGTCCGAGGTGCAGATTTCATGCTCTCTCTGGGAGGCCATAAATCTCTCAGGGGCCCCTCATAAATCACAGACTGCAGAGAGGAGTGCTGATCGCTTCCTGAGACTCATTATTCAATAAAAAAACGACTGTAAAAATATTTATTTTGAATTTACTTGAAATAACTTGTTGCTAATGCGTAAATTAAAAGTAGCTTTGACACTGACACCTCAAACCAGTACAGAAATCAGAACAAGCAATAGAAAACTATGCTAATCAATTAATGTCAAAAAATAAATTTTTGAAGGCTTTATAGCTAAAAACACACAATTAGATATAATGGAAATACTCGCACAAAACAAATATAGATTGTGCTTTTTGTTTGAATTTATAGATTTTTTACAACTGATATTTTTTTACAAATATTATTAGAGCATGTTTTGCAAGAAAATACTATTTCAGTATTTCAGCTTCAAAATTTCACATTTAATTTAATGTTAATTGCTATTTCTTTTAATAACAAAAGAGTGAAAAATTTAAGGGGGTCTGAATACTTTCCGTACCCACTGTATATATATAAACAGATTAATCAAGAAATTAGCTTTTTTCTCATGGTCGAAAAGACAAACAGTCTAAAAGTAACAGCACTCTCACTGTAAACTGTCCAACTGTGTAATTGTTTTAGGGTATGGCATCAGACAGCCCCCATAAAAGACAAGCAGAGGAAAAGGCCTGACCTCTCATTCTGTCTGTCTCTCTGCCCTACACTAACCCAGCGCACAGGACAGGATAGATGCCCCAAAGTGATTCATTTATCAATGATCATTATTAAGACCAAATAATCACAAGCACATTTTTTGAGACATTACACAACACAGACTGGGAGGATGACAGCTATCTTTGGTATGAAGAGCTGTCAGCGATGCTTTAGAACTGAACTGTTGACTTACAGCAGCCGTTGTTCTTCAGATTAGAGAGAATGATGAAGCAGGACATGATCAGGCTGCGGGCAGTGAAAGGACAAAGATCCATAGCGATACAGACCAGATTCCCCGTTGCACAACCTGAAACATGACCATCATGCAATCTGTCAAAAACAAACCAAACAAAAGTATGTGCTCCCCCTGTCAGTGCTAAACACAGTGTGTAGGTTGTGCTACTGAAGCAATGTTATAATTGTCAAATACCTGCTCTTTTTTTGCGGGCTTTGAAGTCCGAGTGTCTTTCTGTTCTTATCCTCAGGTGCTGTTCGGGCTTGATTTATTGTTTGTTACAAAGACACTCAAATTATACGGCCCACAAGGCCCAGCACCAACACAGCGCCAAGATCGTATTGCTGGAGATGATAATTGTATCATGTGGACAAATGTAAATAATGGATCGCAAGTCCTTCACACATGAGAGGAAATCCACAAAATACTAGTTATTTGATAAATGTACAATTTGTCATGAGCACTAACAGACAAATTTAGATTGAACTACCTGTGTGATTAATCACAAGAGAGAGCAGGAATCTACTATGAGACACTGCCCTCGAAGACTAGCACAAGTCCAGCCATTATCACTGACACAAAGTGCTGAAATCATTCTTAATCTTTTTTTAAACCTTTTTAAAATTGTCATAAAATTAACAACAAATGCAATGTGCATTACATATAAAGTATTTTAACTTGCATTTATTAAATATACTGTATATACACGTATACTGGTAAAAAGAATGGAATAAGATGTTTTATGTTTTTGATCATAAAATCTCTTCTTTGATCAAAATGCAGTAAAAAGAGTAATACTGCGAAAAAATTATTAGAATTTAAAATAACTTTTTAATATATTTTAAAATGCAATTAATTCTTGTGATGGCAAAGCTGGATTTTCAGCTATCATTACTCCAGTTTTATAGGGTCACACGATCCTTCAGAAAGCATTGTAATTGCAGAGTTAATGTAATTTTTGGACAGGTAGGGCATATATAATTGAAATAATATAAAAATATTATACAAAATTGTACTGTGTGTGTGTATATCTATATATATAAAAATATAAATATATAATATATATAAATGTACATTTTACATTTTAATTAATACTAATTATTATAATGACATTTTTGTATTCATTTATTTACATAAACACACACATATATAATGCTGCATATATGAATATGAATTACAGTATATACATATAAACAATCAAACACATTTAAAAAACACATTAACATTAAAACAACTTTATTTATATAGTAAATATAAAAATTATAATTTAATAATATAATTATATAATTTATATGATGAACTATCCCTGACATTACACATCCACTAAAAGCCCTGGGCCCAGGTGGTTAAAATAATTTTTTTTTTAAAAGTCAGAAAAAAATTTAAGAAAAGTGAAGAATCTATAATCATATAGTTTAAGATGCCAGTTGGTCATATTGGTTCACATCTGTGCCTGTACTTTCTCTGTCTGGGTCTTGCCACAGTTCAAGGTCAACTTGCCCTCCTTCAAAGGTGCCAAAAGCTCATTCCTTGTCTCTGATGTTGGTGAATGATGTTATAATGTTTTTATTTTTCCACGGTTTATGAGATGTACAAATCTAAGATACTCAGTTTTTATTTGTCTATGTCTGAGTTTTACTCACTATTTCATGGCCTATACGTGGTTGTGCGGATTTTGCGGCAGAAGGCGTGTCTGGGGAGGGAGCAGCTGAATTTGCCTTGGGGAGCTCATAAACACCAGCATTTCTCATAGGTGACTGTACCATGTGACTCCTAAACGAGCTGCTTTAAAGAGCGGCCCGACCTGTTGAGAAATATCACAGGTAATCACAGGTCATGTGAGAAAGCGCCATCCAGACTGTCAGCACAGGAGATCGATGACACTGGAAACAGTCTGCGGCTTCTCCATGGCAAGCAGAGGCAGCTTCACCAGCTCAGAGTTCTCAGAGGAGGAACCAGACGGGAGTCTTCAAGGGTTCGAGGAGCTGGACAGCAGTGACGGCAGCAGCTCGACGAGTTGTTACCCCAACAGTGCCCTAAGCGAGCCAGAAGAGAGACAGAGCAAGAAACGCAGCAGGCCGGTGCGCTCCAAAGCACGCAGAGTGGCGGCCAACGTGAGAGAGAGGAAACGCATCATGGATTATAACCAAGCCTTCAACGCGCTCCGGGTGGCTCTGCATCACGACCTGAGAGGAAAGAGGCTGTCGAAGATCGCCACGCTCCAGAGGGCCATCAATCGGATCTCGGCTTTGTCAGTCTTCCTCACTAACAACCCACCAGCAAGTGTGGGGAAATCCTGCAGCCCCATTGAGTGTCACGGTCAGCCGGGCGGCTTGTGGCAGGAGCCGTCGCCGTCGCCTCCTGTCCGCCTCGAATCCCAGAGCTTCCTATCCTGGCACCAGCCGCTCAGCCATCATATACAAAACCCCTTGCACAGACTGTCCTCAGAGCAACACACTTTCACGGACCCCGCTTGTCCGCCGTCCCCTCACTACCCGTGTTTCTCTCCTGACGCCCAGGTTTACCCTTCTAGCGATATGGCAAGCTCATCCAGGTATGGACGGATAAGTGATGTTGGAGCATATCAGCCAGGAGTTTGGGGCTCTTATGGCCCAAATCATACGGACAATTATGGGGAACCACTGCAGACGCTCCCTCTGTCCTGGCACATGGGCTACCTATAACAGGCCTCAGCACTGCTACAACACACTGTGATACACACTCATGCACCAGGATTCCTGAGACTGAGAGAACTGAGAAAAATCACTGCCAACACCTGTAAACAGGTGCATTTCTGGTTACCGTTTGGTAACATTGTATATATTTTGAATGTAATTACAAATAGTGTTAAATGCATTAAGAGAAATGTATATGTAATGAGCAAATTATATGTGATTTGCAAAAGTATTGCATTAGTAAACAGAGGAAAAGAAACGTTTGTACAAAAAAGATCTACTTGTGCATTTAGATGTTTGCATTTCACCTTTGTAATAAAATATGCAAAACAGTAACACACTGACTCATCTTCATGCCAAAGTTAAGCATTTAGAGAACATTTCTGTTTACGTAGGTAGCGATTAAGTGCATTATGTGTTTGTGTGCATGCAAAGACAAAGTCTGTTCCCTTCTACTCATTTTTGAAAAATGGAGCTTTGATCTTGCGTGAACTGCTCATTCTTTTCATAACAGGGTGTAAAAACATTCTGACGTAGCATGGTTTAGCAGGAATCTCATTCATGCTTTAGTCTCGATGAGTTTATGTGCACATTAGTATTTTCAGTATTTATTAAGCAAATCATTTAAACTTAATTCAGAATGATTTACACCATATTATTTTCAATCTCAAATGGCTTTCCTTGTATTTTCACATTTAGAATTTATTCATTAAGCATATACATTTATCCAAAGCAACTTTAAAAAAAAAAAGCAATACACAAATCGATTATAAGCATGTAACATGAAAAGTGCTAAAATACAAAGTTTCCAAGCTTGCTCAGAGTAGTACAAGCTAAAACAGAGAGGAAAAAGTTGAAAAGCATCATTTGTATTTTTTTATTATTTTAAATATATATTTTTTATTATATAGACCATGCATCAATGTAATTGCTAAAATACAAAATTGCTCAATTGATAAAAACGTTTTTTAGTTGAAAAATGTTTTAGTACTCACTAAAATAGAGGAAAAAATACAAACAGTTAAAGTATTTTTTATATTATTTTTAAAAATATTTCTTAATACATAGCAATGCTAATACTTTTAGAATGCATCAACATGCACTCTAGTTTTCAAGCTGGCAGTTTTTTTATTTACACCCTTTTATTTTAGCTATGTATCAGTGCAACTTACTTGTAGTTGTATTATTATTATTCGTAATATATTTTAAAACATTAAGTGTGATGTTTTTTGTTATTTATCTATGAATGTTTTAATGCCATATGTCCCTTTTTAATAATTCTGAGGCAGTCATGGACTGTCCATTGTTCTTGTTAAATAAATATGAAATAAATGTAATAATTCAGTCAAGCGCTGATGGAAAAGGTGAGGGACTTGCCTGTTCGGGTGGATATGTAAAGATCATTCCACTAGCGAAGAATAGTGGAGGTACAGTAAATGTTTGAATATAGTTTTTGAAATATGAGTGGGACCCTCAGGTGAGAGCCATCCTCAGAGTAGATCAATCTAAACACTGTTAATATTAGACCATTAGCATGTGCTTGGGGACAGATTTATGACCTCACAGGAAGGAAGTGCAAGCTCTACCCAAAGAGAGAGAGAGAGAGAAAATCCCCCTTGGTCTCTTTCCGGCAGCCCCGTGGCGACTGATGGTGCGCGGGGACTTTCATGGGGAGACCTGCAGGTGTGTCCGATCGGGCTACACAAACAAGAATGAGGGTAAGAGAGAGGAAGGGATGGATTGATTGTCTTCCTCTTATTTCATCCACAGACATGAATCATGGAAATCCCTGACTCACGCCAAACATGCTGACTGACGTTGACGATGAATGTGTTGAGTGATAGTGACAACATGTCTGTCGTCCTGCCTGTTGTGGCAGCGGGCCAGTCAGGCTTCATTTGAACACATCAGCAGGTTTACGTGTTGTTTTCTGCGGTGAGCAAATCTTTCCCGTCAATCCGGACATTGCTCATTTGATCCAATGCATTTGTCATATCTGTCAGATGAAGATCTGTAAACAGTTTAAATCGCAGCAGGTAAAATAATCACCTGCTCAATTAAAGCATTTGGACACTAGAGGGCAGCACATTATTTGTGCAGACTGGATAAAGGCAGGACTTTAACATAATACAAAATAGAATCTTTTATTATTAGCCATTATTAGTAAAAAAAAGTTGCTTATTAACCTTTCCTGTAAAAGTTACATGCACTTTTAGAAATAATGCCTTAATAATGCCTCAATTCCTTTTTTTGGAATCCTCAATTATCACATGATAATGTTACAGCTAAAATATAGTAGTCAACATTTGAAGTGGATCAAAAAAGTTCATCAAAGTTGTCCTAAGACAAGAACGGGTATTTTGGTTATAGGACAACTTTGATGAAAGGTTTTGATCCACTTCAAATGTTGACTACTGTAGTAAAGTGCTTTTATAAAATAATATGCTTCACATTTCTACAAAATTACTTTTGCAGTGCTCATCATTTTAAAGTATTGTGCTTGAGTTTAACTTCTACTGAAGAAATGCCGCACGCACATACTTTTAGCAGAACAATGGTTGAACAGGAAGGGTTAAAATATAAGATTGCTTAGTAAAAACCATGTAAAAAAATTATAATAAAAAAAAATCACAATACAACCAGGACGTATGGAGGCCCGTTTCTGCTATAGGCTAAAAAAAATGTAATTGTGACTTTTTTTTCACAGTTCTGAATTATTTTCTCAGAATTGCATGATATAAACTCGCATTTGCTAGAAAAAAAAATAGAATTGCAAGATTTAAACTAATAACTAATATATAAACTAATATAAACTCGCTATTCTGAGAAATAAAGTATTAGTCTTTTCCCCCCTCAGAATTAGAATCGGACAGTTGCAAGAAAAAAGTCAGAATTGTGAGAAAAACTTGCATTTGCCATTTTTATTTTTTATTTAGTGGCAAAAACTGGTTTTCATAAATTGTAAATACCAGAATATTTGAAAATATTTTTTTTAAGTATAAACTGCTTCTTTTTTGAAATATGAGTGGGACCCTCAGGTGAGAGCCATCCTCAGAGTAGATCAATCTAAACACTGTTAATATTAGACCATTAGCATGTGCTTGGGGAGAGATTTATGACCTCACAGGAAGGAAGTGCAAGCTCTACCCAAAGAGAGAGAGAGAGAGAAAATACCCCTTGGTCTCTTTCCGGCAGCCCCGTGGCGACTGATGGTGCGCGGGGACTTTCATGGGGAGACCTGCAGGTGTGTCCGATCGGGCTACACAAACAAGAATGAGGGTAAGAGAGAGGAAGGGATGGATTGATTGTCTTCCTCTTATTTCATCCACAGACATGAATCATGGAAATCCCTGACTCACGCCAAACATGCTGACTGACGTTGACGATGAATGTGTTGAGTGATAGTGACAACATGTCTGTCGTCCTGCCTGTTGTGGCAGCGGGCCAGTCAGGCTTCATTTGAACACATCAGCAGGTTTACGTGTTGTTTTCTGCGGTGAGCAAATCTTTCCCGTCAATCCGGACATTGCTCATTTGATCCAATGCATTTGTCATATCTGTCAGATGAAGATCTGTAAACAGTTTAAATCGCAGCAGGTAAAATAATCACCTGCTCAATTAAAGCATTTGGACACTAGAGGGCAGCACATTATTTGTGCAGACTGGATAAAGGCAGGACTTTAACATAATACAAAATAGAATCTTTTATTATTAGCCATTATTAGTAAAAAAAAGTTGCTTATTAACCTTTCCTGTAAAAGTTACATGCACTTTTAGAAATAATGCCTTAATAATGCCTCAATTCCTTTTTTTGGAATCCTCAATTATCACATGATAATGTTACAGCTAAAATATAGTAGTCAACATTTGAAGTGGATCAAAAAAGTTCATCAAAGTTGTCCTAAGACAAGAACGGGTATTTTGGTTATAGGACAACTTTGATGAAAGGTTTTGATCCACTTCAAATGTTGACTACTGTAGTAAAGTGCTTTTATAAAATAATATGCTTCACATTTCTGCAAAATTACTTTTGCAGTGCTCATCATTTTAAAGTATTGTGCTTGAGTTTAACTTCTACTGAAGAAATGCCGCATGCACATACTTTTAGCAGAACAATGGTTGAACAGGAAGGGTTAAAATATAAGATTGCTTAGTAAAAACCATGTAAAAAAATTATAATAAAAAAAAATCACAATACAACCAGGACGTATGGAGGCCCGTTTCTGCTATAGGCTAAAAAAAATGTAATTGTGACTTTTTTTCCCTCAAAATTTTGAATTTTTTTTCGCAATTCGGATTTAAAAAAAAAATTCGAGACAAACTCACAAGACATAAACTGAGACATAAACACTCACAATTCTGACTTATTTTGTTTTGCAAAAATAATTGCGACTTTTAATCTCACAGTTCTTTTTCTTTTTTTCTTTTGCCATTGTGAGTTTATATCTTGCCATTCTGACTTTATATCTTGCAGTTGTGACTTAACATCTCGCAATATGCACAAAAATAAATAGATAAATAAATTGTGAGATGAACTCAGAATTGTAAGGGAAAAAGTAACAATTAGTTATTTTATACATTTTCATCCTATGGTCGAAACAAGCTTCCATAAGGAAGAGACAATGCAGTTAATTGTAATGATTTAAGTGCTTTCTAGTGCAGCTCAGACAGATGAATGAACTTATGAGCATTTGTAATGCAGAGATTTAAATACAGTGAGTCATCCATGGCACAATAACACCTTTCACTAATAAACTTCACCAACTTCAAACCCACACTGATCTGCCAGGCCAGGCCGGGCCACACCGCCCCCATGACGCCTGCCATAGGTACTGTTGACAGGAGAATGTGCAGGGGAGCACATGCCAAGACACTGAGCACAGAGAGAGAGAGAGATGGCAGATGACTCACCTGTAGCCTCTCTACTGCTTGCTAATGATGGAAGACACATTCACACAAAGGACAAAGCTGTAGGCAGTTAAAGCGTGATAGCAGAGGTTAGTGTTTATGACCGTTTTGATTGGGTTCTGGCACTTTCATGGACACAGATTTGGTTTTGGACCAGAGTAGAAGCATGTAATTAGAACAATGCTCTGGGACAGTGTCCGTGATCTGCCAGTGTTGGCACGTAATGTGCTGTTCATTTGGATATTCATGTCATATGCTGTGATCTGCCTCCTTACTATCATCCACACACATACACCACCAGCAGGTGGTAACAGAACACCATCACTGAAAGAGCTGC